CTGTACTTCTCGAGGTGACATCTCTGCTTTCTAACATCTTACATAGGTCTGGTGCAGCAAATTTTCCAGGGAAACGTGATTTGCTTTCTTGTCTGCTTCTTTATTGGGGGCTGATTGTGGGTCCCAGTAAAATGAAATCTTCCACAACGTCACTCTTTTCTCCATTTATGATGATGATACTTACTGGTACAGTTGTGAGGTTTTCATTTTCTTAATGTCGAGGTCAAGTTCTATTGGATATCAGCAGTTGTTCCCTTTGCAAAATATCCTTTTGTGAATCCAACTTAGATTTCTGGCAGTTTACTATCAAGGTACTGCTCTAATCATTTTTAAATTATCATCATCACAATTTACTCATCTGTGATATTTATGATAATTTGATGATTGCAGCATTTTGTGGGATCAGGTTTCCTTGGACATGAATGGACATGAATATGGATCTCTAGGGAATTATCATCCAGATTTCTTGGCATAGATGAGTGAGTTCTTCTGGTTTGCTCGTTTGAAATCCATTTGTTAGAACATTTCATCGGTTCCCATCAATTCCTTTGCTTTTTATCAACGTCTTCAGTGCAGCTTAGCTTTTTTTCCTACAATACTATCAAATTCACAGAGACTAAAATTTTTTAGGGGTTACCAGGAGGCTAGGAGGAAGAGGAGGAGAAGGGAACTGGGAACTGTGGATGAATGGATACTGTATTTCTATTTAGAGTGATGAAAAATACAGAAATGGAAAATGGTAAAGGTTCACAACATGATAAATGTAATTAATGGCACTTAATTGTATATTTTAAATGATTAAAATGACAACTGTTTTGTCATATATATATTACTACAGTCAACTAAAGGGTAACAAAAAGAATCCATTCTGTTCATCACTGTGCCTTAACATCTAGCAAAGATGAGAAAGAGGAGGCTTCCTGCTCCCATAAAGATTTATAGTCTTCGATAAACACAGAATGTCACAATGAATCAGAACTGGCTCAAATACAGTGAATTTGGTTTGGTTTTGGGGTCATTAAGGTTAAGATTATTGATGCTGGTTTCATATAAACAGTGGCACAAATCCAGATGTTTGGGAAGCGATATTTGCTAAACTTTTAGGACTGAATGATCTCGAGGTGCCCTGGTAAGGTAAAGTCCTCAGCTGCCACCTGGTAGTTAGAACCCACCAGAAACTCTGCTGGAAAAAAGACCTAGTGTTTGACACCCATCAAGACTAGTCAAAGAAACCAGACGAGTCAAGGACCCTACGTGCAGCTCTATGCTGTTATATTGGGTCAGTATGAGTCAGGATACACTTGAAAACACACAATAAAGGTCTCAAAGGTACTTCTCAATGTATGTATCATTCATTTGTTCGAACTCCGTAAACTTCGTGTTTTTTGCATGTTTAGTTTTGAATGGCTCTCAATATTTATCGTGCATTTGGAAAACTCAATCAATTTGAACACGAGTGCCAGATTCCACTTTGAAAATAAGAGATG